AAAACAAGTAAAATATGTAATAAAAATAGTAAAGAAGAAGCAACAACTAGGAAGAAAACAAAAGAAGAATAGAAAAGAACTCTCTCACACTCGCAAGAGTACAGCCGAAGTTTGCCCATGGCCCCTTTACAGTCTGAGTTCAACTGCAGGTCTCCAAGCTGATGCTTTGCTTAACTGCCTTTGCTTAACTGCGGGTGAGCAAGGAGGCCTGCAGAACCAGCTGCCTCTGAAGGCAGCCTCCTGGCTAGCACAGGTCTGGGCATGGCTAACGGCAGGCCTTTGTCCCTGTCTGCAGATCCAACTTCCTCACTTAACTTGAGGGTGGGAAGGATGCGGTATAATTGATCCAGCTCCAGGTTCTCCACTGACTTTTTTTTGGTACTGGGAATTGAACTCATGACCTCATGCTTGCCACTGAGCTATATCCCTGGCCCTCCAGTGACATTTGCCAGTGACCTCTCTCTACCTCCATTCCCTGTAGGTAGTCCTGCATGGTTGCCTCTATTTTCCTTTATAAGCCTTTCACCTAGAGCATCTCCCTGTGCCTTCTGACCCAGACCACACCCTGTGTCCCTCCACAGAGTGTGTTTGGGTTGCTCTCTAAGCTGTGAACCTGGTGCCACCCTAGGGCTCTCTGCCTGTAGGAGTTCTGAGCAGCGGGTGTTGGGATCTCCCCTGTGGGCACCTGCAGAGAGACAGCTGAGTTTGTCCCATAAATATGACAGCACTCCTGGTGTGTGGGGGAGAAATGGGAAGTTAGTTACTTCAGGGTCTGTTGAGCCTCTCTTTCCCCCAGGGTCTCGTCACTCCCAGAATCTGCTCACTTGCCCTCGCCTAGGCCCTGGGCCGCAGAACTATCAGCTATCCCTCCCAGGGCCTTAAGAAGCGTGGCGCGTTTGTTTTCAAATTCCCAAGTGCCTGTCACTGGCGTTTGTCTCATACGCCGCCCTCCAGCTTTCAGTTTCACCGAGGCCTGGCCTGTGAGTGTCTCTTGCGGGGACCCTCTTCCCAGTGGAGAGGGTGGAGAGACTGAGCGCCCATCCCGTCAGTCAGGCTGCTGCTGAGGTGCCGGCTCCCTTCCTCAGAGGGCCCAGTCCGCTTCCAAGATGGCGTGTGTGCCAGACCTGGGGTGTAAGGGTGCTTCGGTTAAGGAACGGTTGACTTCCCCTTCTAACCCCACCCCACGGTGGCCCAGTGAGTTTCCTTTTCCACTTTCCTTCTCGTTATCTGGCTTTTTCTACACCCCTGCCTGAGGGTACCTACTTTTCTCCAGGTTCAGAGTCTAACCGTTGCTGCTTGCTGCACCCTAGTTGGCCACGATGATCTCCCCATCCTGCATTTATACCAGAAATGGAATATCTTCCTTCCCTGTGACTGAAGCCTCCCACCCCACTTGGACTCCCAGCCCTGTCACTCAGACTTCATTTTATTCACGGCACTGGTCGTCATCAGAAATCCTTACTTATTTGTTTCTTCTTACTGTCACTGTCCCCTAACCTGCCGCACTCACAGAATAAGGACTTTGCCCAACTTGGTCACTTTCTCCACCCTGGTGGCCAGAACACACTAGAAACTCTCAGTAAATATTTGCCAGCTGGGGGAAATGAATGGAAATAAATCCTATGATTGTACCAGGACACGCTAAAAAGTCACTAGCTAATTTAAGACGTTTCTAATTTTTAAACGATGTGTAAACCTCTCACGAGAGGCAGCAGGTGATGAAGCACAAGCACTGGGTCCGTGAGGCCTTGGCTGCAGTCTCAGCTTAGCGGGTTCTCAGCTGTGTATCCTTGGTCAAGTCCCTTAGCCTCTCTGAGTCTCAGTGTCCTAATCCATAGGGAAAGAAGTAACTCAATGAGAGTTGTAATAAGTAAGGAAAACGCTGTAAATACGGGTCCAGCAGGATGTCTGGATGCTGTCTTCAATAGACATTACATGGTATTATTCAAATGGTAGCCGGGCGTGGTGGCACACGCCTGTAATCCCAGCACTCAGGAGGCTGAGGCAGGAGGATCGTTGCGAGTTTGAGACCAGCCTGGGCTACAAAGTGAGCTCAAGGTCA